CTATATCTTAAATTTTCTCCGAAGTACTGGTTTCAGACCTGGTCCTTTTGCCAGCTTGTTGGCCTGATCACAAGCTTCCCGAACAGTATATAGTTTGTGCAGAAACTTCCCAGGTTAAGGTACCGTTAGATCGCGATATACGAAGTTCGTGTCGCGGGTGCTTGCAGGCATGGCTGTTAGACTGACTGCACATAGGGTACTACTGGCATTGATGCACTATATCTTGAATTTTCTCCGCAAGTACTGGGTTTCAAGACCTGTTCTTTTGCCAGCTTGTTGGCCTGATCACAAGCTTCATTACAAGGTATATTTTGTGCAGAACTTCCCAGGTTAGGTACCGTTAGACCGCGATATACGAAGTTCGCGTCGCGGGCGCTTGCAGCATGGCTGTTAGACTGACTGCACATAGGGTTCTACTGCATTGATGCGCTATATCTTGAATTTTCTCCGCAAGTACTGGTTTCAAGACCTGTCCTTTTGCCAGCTTGTTGGCCTGATCACAAGCTTCCGAACAAGGTATAGTTTGTGCAGAACTTTCCAGTTAAAGGTACCAGGCCGCGATATACGAAGTTCGTGTCGCGGGCGCTTGCAGGCATGGCTGTTAGACTGACTGCACATAGGGGTTCTACTGGCATTGATGCGCTATATCTTAATTTTCTCCGCAAGTACTGGGTTTCAAGACCTGTCCTTTTGCCAGCTTGTTGGCCTGATCACAAGCTTCCGAACAAGGTATAGTTTGTGCAGAACTTCCCAGGTTAAGGTACCGTTAGCCGCGATATACGAAGTTCGTGTCGCGGGCACTTGCAGGCATGGCTGTTAGACTGACTGCACATAGGGGTACTATACTGGCATTGATGCGATATATCTTAAATTTTCTCCGCAAGTACTGGGTTTCAAGACCTGTCCTTTTGCCAGCTTGTTGGCCTGATACAAGCTTCTGAACAAGTATAGTTTGTGCAGAACTTCCAGGTTAAGGTACCGTTAGCCGCGATATACGAAGTTCGTGTCGCGGGCGCTTGCAGGCATGGCTGTTAGACTGACTGCACATAGGGGTTCTACTGGCATTGATGCGCTATATCTTAAATTTTCTCCGCAAGTACTGGGTTTCAAGACATGTCCTTTTTGCCAGCTTGTTGGCTGATCACAAGCTTCCGAACAAGTATAGTTTTGCAGAACTTCCCAGGTTAAGGTACCGTTAGACCGCGATATACGAAGTTCGTGTCGCGGGCGCTTGCAGGCACGGCTGTTAGACTGACTGCACATAGGGTTCTACTGGCATTGTGCGCTATATCTTGAATTTTCTCCGCAAGTACTGGGTTTCAAGACCTGTCCTTTTGCCAGCTTGTTGGCCTGATTACAAGCTTCCGAACAGGTATAGTTTGTGGCAGACTTCTCAGGTTAAGGTACTCGTGAGACCGCGATATACGATTCGTGTCGCGGGCGTTTGCAGGCATGGCTGTTAGACTGACTGCACATAGGGGTTCTACTGGCATTGATGCGCTATATCTTAAATTTTCTCCGCAAGTACTGGGTTTCAAGACCTGTCCTTTTGCCAGCTTGTTGGCCTGATCACAAGCTTCCGAACAAGGTATAGTTTGTGCAGAACTTCCCAGGTTAAGGTACCGTTATGCCGCGATATACGAAGTTCGTGTCGCGGGCGCTTGCAGGCATGGCTGTTAGACTGACTGCACATAGGGGTACTATACTGGCATTGATGCGCTATATCTTAATTTTCTCCGCAAGTACTGGGTTTCAAGACCTGTCCTTTTGCCAGCTTGTTGGCCTGATCACAAGCTTCCGAACAAGGTATAGTTTGTGCAGAACTTCCAGGTTAAGGTACCGTTAGACCGCGATATACGAAGTTCGTGTCGCGGGCGCTTGCAGGCATGGCTGTTAGACTGACTGCACATAGGGGTACTACTGGCATTGATGCGCTATATCTTGAATTTTCTCCGCAAGTACTGGGTTTCAAGACATGTCCTTTTGCCAGCTTGTTGGCCTTCACAAGCTTCCGAACAAGGTATAGTTTGTGCAGAACTTTCCAGGTTAAGGTACCGTTAGGCCGCGATATACGAAGTTTGTGTCGCGGGCGCTTGCAGGCATGGCTGTTATACTGACTGCACATAGGGGTACTACTGGCATTGATGCGCTATATCTTGAATTTTCTCCGCAAGTACTGGGTTTCAAGACCTGTCCTTTTGCCAGCTTGTTGGCCTGATCACAAGCTTCCGAACAAGGTATAGTTTGTGCAGAACTTCCCAGGTTAAGGTACCGTTAGACCGCGATATACGAAGTTCGTGTCGCGGGCGCTTGCAGGCATGGCTGTTAGACTGACTGCACATAGGGGTACTACTGGCATTGATGCGCTATATCTTAAATTTTCTCCGCAAGTACTGGGTTTCAAGACCTGTCCTTTTGGCAGCTTGTTGGCCTGATCACAAGCTTCCGAACAAGGTATAGTTTGTGCAGAACTTCCCAGGTTAAGGTACCGTTAGGCCGCGATATACGAAGTTCGTGTCGCGGCGCTTGCAGGCATGGCTGTTAGACTGACTGCACATAGGGTTACTACTGGCATTGATGCGCTATATCTTAAATTTTCTCCGCAAGTACTGTGTTTCAAGACCTGTCCTTTTGCCAGCTTGTTGGCCTGATCACAAGCTTCCGAACAAGGTATAGTTTGTGCAGAACTTCCCAGGTTAGGTACCGTTAGACCGCGATATACGAAGTTCGTGTCGCGGGCGCTTGCAGGCATGGCTGTTAGACTGACTGCACATAGGGGTACTACTGGCATTGATGCGCTATATCTTAAATTTTCTCCGCAAGTACTGGGTTTCAAGACATGTCCTTTTGCCAGCTTGTTGGCCTGATCACAGCTTCCGAACAAGGTATAGTTTGTGCAGAACTTCCCAGGTTAAGGTACCGTGGCCGCGATATACGAAGTTCGTGTCGCGGGCGTTGCAGGCATGGCTGTTAGACTGACTGCACATAGGGGTTCTAATGGCATTGATGCGCTATATCTTAAATTTTCTCCGCAAGTACTGGTTTCAAGACCTGTCCTTTTGGCAGCTTGTTGGCCTGATCACAAGCTTCCGAACAAGGTATAGTTTGTGCAGAACTTCCCAGGTTAAGGTACCGTTATGCCGCGATATACGAAGTTCGTGTCGCTGGCGCTTGCAGGCATGGCTGTTAGACTGACTGCACATAGGGTACTATACTGGCATTGATGCGCTATATCTTAAATTTTCTCCGCAAGTACTGGGTTTCAAGACCTGTCCTTTTGCCAGCTTGTTGGCCTGATCACAAGCTTCCGAACAAGGTATAGTTTGTGCAGAACTTCCCAGGTTAAGGTACCGTTAGACCGCGATATACGAAGTTCGTGTCGCGGGCGCTTGCAGGCATGGCTGTTAGACTGACTGCACATAGGGTTCTACTGGCATTGATGCGCTATATCTTGAATTTTCTCCGCAAGTACTGGGTTTCAAGACCTGTTCTTTTGCCAGCTTGTTGGCCTGATCACAAGCTTCCGAACAAGGTATAGTTTGTGCAGAACTTCCCAGGTTAAGGTACCGTTAGACCGCGATATACGAAGTTCGCGTCGCGGGCGCTTGCAGGCATGGCTGTTAGACTGACTGCACATAGGGGTTCTACTGCATTGATGCGCTATATCTTGAATTTTTTCCGCAAGTACTGGGTTTCAAGACCTGTCCTTTTGCCAGCTTGTTGGCCTGATCACAAGCTTCCGAACAAGGTATAGTTTGTGCAGAACTTTCCAGGTTAAGGTACCAAGGCCGCGATATACGAAGTTCGTGTCGCGGGCGCTTGCAGGCATGGCTGTTAGACTGACTGCACATAGGGGTCTACTGGCATTGATGCGCTATATCTTAAATTTTCTCCGCAAGTACTGGGTTTCAAGACCTGTCCTTTTGCCAGCTTGTTGGCCTGATCACAAGCTTCCGAACAAGGTATAGTTTGTGCAGAACTTCCCAGGTTAAGGTACCGTTATGCCGCGATATACGAAGTTCGTGTCGCGGGCGCTTGCAGGCATGGCTGTTAGACTGACTGCACATAGGGGTACTATA